GCGTGTGCGTGTGCGTGTGCGTGTGCGTGTGCGTGTGCGTGTGCGTGGGCGTGGGCGTGGGCGTGTGCGTGTGCGTGTGCGTAGCGTGTGCGTGTGTGCATGTGCGTGTGTGTGTGTGTGTTAGCAGAGATTTGTACAAACTAATTTTTATTCAAACGATTTTTATTCATTGTTACGATTTTGTCTTTTGTTTTCCGAATGAACGATACAATACAGTGATTGCAATACTGTAAAATTACTTACAGAAGTAATGTACTGTGGAGTTACTTACTTCAGTATTACAAAACTTCACAGTATTGCAGTCACTGTATTGTATTGCTCATTCGGAAAACAAAAAACAAAATCGTAACAATGCCTCGTTTGAATAAAAATTAGTTTGTGCAAATCTCTGCTAACACATACACACACACACACACACACACACACACACACACACACACACGATGGACAAAATCCGACCAGCAATCTCCTCGTAGTATCCATCGGGTAATGCTAATGTTGGCGGTGATTGAATGCACAAAAATGCATAGGTAACTTTGATAAGCCATAATTCGGCGAAAAAAAATCGTATAAACTTATTTTTTTTTCAATTTGCAGGGAAAAGTCCATATTTTACGATGGTTGCCATGATAATTACGAAAAAAATTCATTCTACTCCGTAGAATGTGTCAAAATGTGCAATTTTTTGGAGACGTAACACGTCTTTACTTTTGGAAGAACGGCGGGAGGGAAGAGGCTAAATTCAAAATCTGACTATGGTTCCTTAAGGATGTATGGGTGACATCTCAAAGCATTACCAAAAATCTAAAAATTTAATAGATTGTTCTATTATTACGTCTAAGTATCTGTGTAAAATTTCAGCACAATTCTCTTACTGGTTTAAGTTATTTAATTTTTTTGTTTGCATTAATTTTTATCATATCTCGGGATTGGCTTCACCAATCTTATTGGGACTAGTCGCAATCGAAAGCTTGTATCGACATTATATTTAAAAAATGTTAGATTTTTTATTACGGCTTTAGTTTCTGAGATATTTTAATCAAAAGTTTGTTGACGTATGAAATTTCTTCTTATTCTTATAATTTCATGAGGAAGTAGCATTACAAATTAAATCAAATTTTGTACATATGCTAATGAAACTATGATAAATATTCGTACAAAAGTTCATTTGGATCCACTTACTCGTTTAAAAGTTATTTACCTAAAACTGTAGCAAAATGTGGTCAATACGCTGCATAACCCATTTTAGTCTATGAGACTTGGCAACATCGCAGTGAGGCAGTACAGATCGATGTATTGAAAGTGTAAACACTTCGAGTCAATATCGAAATTGTATTGAAATTTTTTACGATATTCAACATTTTTCGGCATTTTAATTCCGCGTTTGAAAGGTGACCGGCAGTAATGCCAACGTAGAAAATAATGCAATGTTGTCATATTTAAAGCTGGCATTAAATGGTATATTTTAGGTTTACATTTTGTTTTAAAATTATTAATTAAATATATATAACTTATTACTTTTATATTAAATATACAGGGTGTCTGAAAAATCGCCTACTCCACTTCGGGAGGTGATTCGGGACCCAAAAACAAGCAAAAAAGTTCATACAAACATAGATCCGGAAATGAGCCGTTTCCGAGTTATAGCCACTTTTATGTTCAAAAATTGTAAATTTTTATTTTCAATTTTTTTTAATTACAATTACCAAATTTTCTCAAGTTTCTGTCTACATTTCGAAAAGACGCTATTCCCGGTACATCTCGATTTGGAAAAGACTGGATGTATAATCTTCTTGCCTCGGCAGCATTACTTTGAACAAGACCATACATAAGATGCATATCAGCTAATTCATTAAAACTTAAACGATCCATTGATGAATACGGAAAGATTAGATACAACCTAAAAGTAAGGTGTTGTTAAATAATAATTTGAAACTTATTGGCTACGTTTACACCCAGCGACCTGATCGCGGCCTGACCTATATTGTGACCCGAAGTAGGTCTAGTCATCATTCGTTTACACCGAAAGAAACCTAAAAATTGACGGGATCGTATTTGGGATCGCCCTGAATTGCAGCGAATCCGAACAAGCAAATGAAGCTTTTAGGTCGTTTTAGGACGCGTCGCGCTTGATCGCGCGTTTACATCGCAAATGATAACAGCCGATTTCAGGTCGGGTCACTAAAATACGCGGCCTAATCTGAAGCCAGGTCCGGTCGTCTATCAACTGTTTACAGCAGGCGGGCTAAATAATTTAGGTCGAATTTGAGGTACAGGCCGCGGCCTAATTTCAGGGTGTAAACGTAGCCATTGAAAAGCCGTGATTTACTTACTGATTTTGAATAGGCGTGATAACAACTGATTTCAAGTAGCCGTGAAAACAACTGATTTTGAATAGCCGTGAAAACAACTGATTTCAAGTAGCCGTAAAAACAACTGATTTCTTTTAAAAATAATGTAATCGTTACAAATATTGAAAAATTGAAAAAAAAAATAAAAAAATTAAAATTAAAAAAATTAAAAATATTTAAAAATAAAAATTTTTAATTTAAGAAATAATTAAGAAAGAGGGATGCCAAGCGGATTCTAAATTACGGTTTTTGAACATAAAAGTGGCTATAACTCGAAAACGGCTCATTTCCGGATTCCACCTATGTTTGTATGAACTTTTTTGCTTGTTTTTGGGTCTCGAATCACCTCCCGAAATGGAGTAGGCGATTTTTTGGACACCCTGTATATTTCAATTATTCGATACCTATAGTAACCGAAAATCGTCTTATAAATTATTCGTTTTTTCGTTTTTTGCAGTTGATTTCAGGGCATTTTCAAGACCAAAAGTTTCTGTCGTTAATTACGAAAAATATTAATTATAAATATTCTCTTTCTTGAAGACGTTAAAAATCATGTTATTTTACAATAGTTGAACTTCTTCTGTAATATAAATTTATTTATTTTATATTTCAAACGATATAAACCTAAGAAATCTGCAGTTTTCAAATTTTAATCATTTTTTGCTGGTATTGTACAACTCAAACATCCTTAAAGTACAGACTTCACCCTTTAAAATGGAAAAAAAAACTTTCAGATGTGACAATTTTTCGCGGAGTTATGTTTATTTAAAGTTGGGCAATCTTTTGACGTAAATTTTTGTTGCAATAATTTTGTTGCTCAGTGTATATTTCCGAAGTTAGGCTTTGAAGCCACCCTTCGGTTTCTATATTGGTGCAGTTAAAGATAACTGCACCATCCCTATCTGAGGTGCTCTTGAAGGTGGGAGCTTTAGTACCCTTAGCAATGCTAATTAAGGATACTTTCCCTCACCTTTTCCTTCAAGTGAGCAGCCTCTTTGTCGTCCAGCCTACGTTCGGGATATTCCATGGGAACCATGGCCACCCTAACTAGGCCAGATGTTGTCTGGGAAAAAGTCCTCTGAT